GCAGCGCTGCTGGAGCTGGGGCAGCCGCTCACGGTGAGGCCAAGCCCAGCTGTCCCAGGGGAGGGGCCGGCAGGATTCGGGCGGGTCAGGGTGTTGTTGGGGGCTGTGGAGGGGCGGGTTGGTAGGGGGAGGGGAAGTCAAGAGGTCAGTGGCGGGTTGGTACCAAGGCGGGGGTCAGGGAGCTGTGGGGGGCAGGGGAGAGGCGGGTTGGTGGGGGGAGGAGAAGGTGACAGGTCAGTGGGGGGTTGGTACCAAGGTGGGGGTCAGGGTGGTGTGGGGAGTTCAGCGGGGGTCAGGGTCGGAGGAAGATTCAGCAGCTTGGGGAGGGGCTGGGCTGTTTCGGTGTCTAGCACTCGGGGGAGGGGGTCTGGCGAGGCTTGTGGGGTGCAGGGTGTGGGTGGCGGTGGGGGGATGGGTCGGGGGAGGTGACGACAGGCTGGCGGGAGGGGGTATTTGTGCCCCATGGGGTGGTTGCCGGGGGACGTGCCCAGGTGCAGAGCATCTCCTCTGGCCGGTTCAGCCTGACGGGGAGTCTGTTCGGTGTCTCCCCCGTCCCAGGACCCCATGGTGACCAGGGCCCTCCAGTGCCTCCGGGAGTCGAGCACCAGCGACCTCTACACGCAGGCGCTGCTGGCCTATGCCTTCGGGCTGGCGGGGAGCACTGAGCTGCGGGACGCCCTTCTGCAGCGCCTGGCCCAGCACAGCGTCAGCGCCGGTACCGGCAGCACCTCGTTCTAGTGCTCTCCTCGCTGCTGGTCTCTAGATACAGGGCAGGGCCAGCTGCCCCCCAGGGCCCTGCCTACCCAGGTGCCCCCCGCCCCGGGATCTCCTCAGCCTGGCAGAGGAGCTGGGTCTCCGTGTCCCAGTCAGTCCGTGGTCTCTGCTGAGGCTGCCAGCGAGGGGCCGACGCGCTGGGCTCTGTCGTGGTGACACTTCTCCCTCACAGTTGGAGTGAGATCGTCCCGCCATTTCCCGGTGCCCAGAGCACGGAGCAAAGGGGGACGAGGCTGGGTCGCTGCCAGCCTGGGGGATCGGAGCTGAGAACCTAGAGGGGTAAAGCGCCATGTACCAACCCAGCCCTCTAACGCACCCGGGGCCAGGAGCGTGAAGGGGTCCAGTGGGCTCAGAGTCCATGGCGCCGGGCCTTGCGTAGGCAGCTCCCAAGGGGAACGGGCCGTAACCGAGCCCTGGGGAGATGCCAGAGGATTCCAGCCCCATCCTGTGTTGGGGACATCCCAGCTGGGGAGTCCCTGCCCGAGGCTTCTCTGCTTGGCCCGGTTAATACTGGGAGGGAAACAGACTGCACTGGGCCGGGGCCAGAGCCAGGGCTGGGGCTGGGGCCGGTTAGGCCCTGCCGTCTCTAGGATAGGGGGTTGTACAGGGAAGCAGGTCTCTGGCTGCCCCCTTGTCTGCCCCATGTCCCCCAGCTCCAGTTCCCCTAGCCTTTCCCTGCACAGATGCCCTTGGGTTTGTGCCACTCCCAGCCCAGCCGCGGTGTGAGCGATGCAGCCTGGGGCCAGCTCCCCATAGGGCGGGAAGTCCCATGTGAGGCCTGAGGCCCACTGGGAGCGCGGCTGGGGACGCAGGAAGTGGTGCTGCCCCACGTCGGTGCTGAGCTGAAGGAGCCCTCGGCATGAGGCCAGGGGGCGCTTGGAGTGCCAGGTTGGGTCCCTCACACTTGTCATGAAGCAGCCAAGTCCTGTGGCACCTTATAGACTAACAGACGTATTGGAGCATGAGCTTTCGTGGGTGAATACCCACTTCTTCAGATGCACTCGTCATGAACACGCCCCAGTGATCTCTGTGCGTCTCCTCGGTGCCATTCGAGCTCAGACTGACCCGTGCCTGGAGCTGAGGCCTGGCGCGCTCGGTTCCTGCCAGGCCCTGGGGAGACGTCCCCCCACAGAGGGGAACCACCTGCATAGTCCAGGCAGCTCTGTCGTATCTCGGCTCAGGTGAAAAGTCCCTTCTCTCCAAGCCCCAGCGCGGCGGCTGCAGCTGGTCTGTGCCCGCGAGTTGTGTGTGTCACCTCCTGCCCTGCCCCGAGGCGGGTAAGAAGTGCTGGGAGCAGCACGTGGCTCCTGCCCCAGGGAGGGGAGAGGGGGACTCTGCTGCTGGGGGCACCGAGGGGCCACTAGGCACTGGGGTAAAACAGCCCTCGGGTAACAGGACCTGTCTCTGAGGTCACAAAGACCCCATGGAGGGTGGTGTTTACCAAGTGTCAGCGCCATCCATGCCCTTCACCTGGGTCATGCTGCCCTCCTGTCCCAGCCACGGGGGCCCCTCATTCTGTCAGGGGCTCTCTGTCCCCTTCTAGCAGTGGTGGCACGAGGCATAAGTAGACTAAGCAATTGCTTAGGGCCCCAAGCAGATCATGGGGCGCCCAGTTTGGTATTACCCCCAAAATCCGTTCATCTAATGTAACGTGGCCTGTTTAACAGGGTGTCGGTTTGCGGGGGGGTTGGTATTGTGATGGGTTGGACCCCGCTTCTGGGATACCATCTGATGTACTGGGATTTCACTGAGCCTGCCAGGGTTCCCTCCGTGCATTGCTGAATTAGGCTCTCTGGCCTCTTGCAGCACACACAGGTAGGGCCACACCCAGCTGCAGACACAGACTGACGTCAGCTCTGTGTGTGATGACTCCCCCAGCACTCACGTGCACATCCCTTTGGGAGATAAACCCAGAATAATACTGTCTGGCGCTGTATAGAAAAATCTCCACAGCGCAAGCTCATAAAAATCTGCCCTCTTCCTCAGTGTGAAGAGAGATGTGCCTGACTTCCTGCCCCCTCCCCAGTTCGAAAGTGTACAAACTGGGTTAGATTATAAACGAGAAATAAGTTTATTACCTACAAAAGGTGAATTGTAAGGGAATATAAGAGAGAACAGCCAGAACAAAGCAAATTACTGAGCAAATAAAACAAAGTACACAAGCTAAGCTTAATATACTTAAGAAATAGGTTACAAAATGTAATTTCTTATCCTAAATGTTATTTTAGGCAGGTTGCAAAGTTTTTGTGGTTCAGAGTTCCAGTTACATTTCTTTTCAGACTGGACCCCTGTCTCAGTCTGAACTCCCCGCTTGCCTGCCCTCGAGGTGGCTTTAGCAGTCTTTCTTCTTGGGCAGACAGGCCATGGAGAGGAGTCCCCCCATTTGCCTTCCTCCCCACCCTTAAATAGGATTTACATAAGGCGGGAATCCTTTGTTTCCCAGACTTGACCCCCCTTCTCTTCCAGTGGAAAGTTACAAGAAGTCCCAGGTAATGTTTAGAATCAGGTGACAAGACCACCACAGTTACATCTCTGGACACTTCCCAGGAGGGAGAGAGATTAGTATCTTCATGGTCTTGTTCCTTCCTGACGGCCTATCAAATCTGATGGCCTGTCCTCGGTGGGTGTCTTCCCAATACACACCCACTTTTAATGGTTACATAGTCCATATTCCTAACTTTAGATACAGAGATGATACATGCATAAGAATTGGATAATCACATTCAGTAAATCAGAACCTTTCCAATGATATCTCACATGAGCCATCTTGCGTAACGTGTATCTCAGTGATGTCATATTAGTCTCATGAGCATATTTTCATAAATAATATGGAGTGCAACGACACAGGGCTATTTCTTGGTTTGGGGCTATAATGCAGCTAATATTTGTAATGGGCCTGTGGGGGTGGGGGGAATATTCCTGTTAGGGCTCCATTGGGTTAGCACCACCTTGGCCCCCGAGCGGCTGCACCACATAGGTTAAGGGGTCACTTGCAGCCAGTGAGCCACCGGGACTGAGTTTTTAGCTCAGGCAGCAGAGGCTCAGGGGTTTTGAGTCAGAGATCCAGGGTTCAGTCCCTGCTGACAACCCACCCAGGGGTGTTGTGTTACACTTGTGTAGCCCTCCTGTGCGCTGTGAATCAGCTACCGTGTCCTGCCCCAGAGGTGGCTGCATTCAGTGGGGAGCAGGAGTCCCTCTGGCCCGGGAAGCCCCTGGGGCCCCTTTGGAAAGCAAACAGGTGACCCACTGTGTTGTAACTGCAGCCGTGGGGCTGCCCTTCCCTCGGCCCCTCTCCTAGGGGGACAGCTCTACTGGCAGAGGAAGGTGAAGGCCCTGCCCAGCCCCTATGGGAACCATGCCCCGTCGGTGGAGATGACGGCTTACGTGCTCCTGGCCTATCTCTCCCTGCCCAACGTGTCTGCTGCCGACATGGGGACCGCTGTCCAGATCATCCGCTGGCTCAGCAAGCAGCATTACCCCTACGGGGGCTTTGCCTACACGCAGGTAACACCCCTGCCCTCAGGTAAACCAGCGCTGGGGCCCTGGTGCAGGAAGGGGTTAGGAGCCCCCTGGGGACTGCATCTCAGAAGCTGAGCTGGGGCCCTTCCTGGGAGAGGGAGTCCTGGGTGCAGAGCCTCCTCATGGACTGGGGCTGGGGCCGGAGTCACTGCTCTGCTGGGGGCTGGGACATGGGGCACCAAACGCCCCCGTGGCCGAGGGGCCTGGCTGCGGCCTCCCATGCCAGTCACACCTGAGCACTGGGTGTCTGCTGGGGGAGACCCGGCGGGTCCTGATCCTGCTGCAGTGAGTCTGAGCCGGGCTCCTCTCCCCAGAGCATGACAGCAGCTCAGTGACTCTCCTCCCCAGGACATGATGGTGGCCCTGCAGGCCCTGGCCAAATACGCAGCCCTGACGCACAGCGCGAGCGGGGCTGCGTCGGTGACGGTGAGCTCCCAGGCCGGGGCCCGGCAGCAATTCCACGTGGAGAACGCCAACCGGCTGGTGCTGCAACGAGCGGCCTTGCAGGAGATCCCCGGGCAGTACACGGTGCGGGCCAGCGGCAAGGGCTGTGTCTTTGTGCAGGTGAGTGCAGGAGCCCCTGGGGAGCAGCCGGCCCAGCGGTGACTGGTTGTGCCCTTGCCCTGCCCCACGGCGCCTGGCTCTGGGCCCAGGCTCTGATCTGCTGTGGCGGAGGCAGCAGGCTCTGCCCCAACCCTCTTGCTTGTCTCCCAGCTGACTCTGCGCTACAACGTGCCGCCCCCAAAGAGCGCCGCGACCTTTGACCTGCGGGTGGAGACGGAGCCGAAGGAGTGCACCGAGAGCGCCAGATCCCGCTTCAGCCTCGTGCTGCACGCCCGGTACGAACCCCAGCCCCTCACCCCCGCTGGGTCAGAGCGCCTGGGGGCAGGGGCAGGCCCCAGGCAACGGGGAAATGGCCGGGGCAGAGCCGCCCCACTGCAGGGCCGGGATGGGGCAGGAATCGATCGTCGGGGGAGCCATCCCCCCACAGGGCTCGGGGCAGAGGCAGGAGGCCCTTGGAATGTGCCAGGGACTAAAGGGCTGGTCCCGGGGCTGATCTAATGGACAGTCGGCTCCCAAGGAGCTCCTGGTGCCGGGGCCCCTTGCCTGGGGAGCTCAGGGCTGGCCGGGGGCTAGCGGGGATCACAGCCCAGAGCAGGCAGAGGGCATTAGAGACGCCTGCAGGGACGAGAAGACGGGAGGCCTCCCCTTCCCCTCCATCCCCCTGGGGTCTGTATCCAGGGCAAACCCCGACCTCAGTGCACGGCTCCTGTTGCAGATACAGCGGGGAGCGCCCAGCCACCAACATGGCCATCATCGAGGTCAAGCTGCCGTCCGGCTACATCCCCGTCAAGAGCTCCCTGCGGCAGGTGAACTTCCCAGGGAGGAGAACAGGCCGGGCCAGTCACACAGCATGAAACCAGGGGCTGATCCATGGGGGAGAGCCCAGACCCCCAGGAGAGCACAGATTGCAGCTCTGACCCCCAGGAGGAGCTCCCCCTGCAGAGCCCTGCCCCCTGCCGTGGGGCACTGTGCAGCCCTGGGTCTCGCATCCAGTCACTGAGCAGGTCCGGACCCTGCTTAGCTCCCCCTACGACACAACGCCCATGTCTAGACTCCCGCCCCTCCCCCAGCAGACACCCAGTGCTCAGCTGTGACTGGCATTGGGGGTGGCAGCCAGGTCCCTCGGCAACGGGAGCGTTTGGTGCCCCATGTTCCAGCCCCCAGCAGAGCAGTGACTCCGGCCCCAGCCCCTCCATTCCTGGCTCAGCCGTTTCCTCCCTCTGCTCCTAGCTGGAGAAGCAGCGTTTGGTGAAGTGGCTGGAGGTGCAGAATGACCAGGTGACGCTCTATCTGGACCAGGTGAGTGCGTGAGGCTCAGGGCTCCGGGGGCCTGGTGTGAACGGGGAGGGCGTGTCCTGCCCTGGCTCCACCCTCATTACAGTTGCTCTCCTGGGCTCTGTGTCACACGCCCGGCGTGGGGTCACTGAAATCTTCCCTGGTTCCAAGTGACCCATTTCCATAAAGGACGGGGAGATGGGACCAGACTCAGCCAAACCCCAGCGAGGGTCGTGAACAGAGCGATGGGGAGCTCAGGGTTGTGGGGGCTAGAGCTGGGCCCTGAGTGTGATGAAAGGGGTCACATTTTGCAGGGGGGTGGAACAGGGATTCGGGGGGAGCATTTTCTCACTGCTCCAGGCTGCAGGGGCAGGGGGAAGCGGCTGGGCCAGGCCGAGCCTCGGGGAGGAGGGGGTTCGAGTTGCCAGTGCAGACATTCAACCCAGGCGCTCGCTCTGTCGCTCTCTCGGTAGCTGACGAAGGAGGCAGCAAGTTTCACCTTCTCCCTGGAGCAGGATTTCCCTGTGAAGAATCTCAGAGCAGCCCCAGTGAGACTGTACGATTACTACGAGACGGGTGAGTCCCGCCCGAGATCCGCCACCTTTACAGACGCTCTCCTGGGCTTTGTGGCACAACCAGTGCCTGGGTAGAGGGTGGTGCCATTGCAATCCCCCCTGCTCCCTGTGACCCATGTCCATGGCTGATCTTAGCCCCCTGCTCAGGCCTGGCCCAGCACTTGGGCAGAGGCTGGCAGCCGACCAGCTGTGGGCCTGCGGGGGTCAAGCTGGAGACACCTGCTGGGGGCGTGTTCCCGGGTTTGATCTGTGGGGTTGGCTCACCTAGCGGGATACGGCAGCCATGTGCTTGTCGGGCTAGTGGGGCGCATGGGGCTGGTGTAACTGGAGCTATCCCAGCAGGAGCAGGGGAGTCCCCCCTGTCACGGACTCACTGATCGTGCCCACTCTTGGCCCCGTGCAGTCCGTGGAGGGTGCCCCGTTCAGTGAGACAGCCCTTCTCAGGGGTCCACTCGCTCTCAGGGTCAGGCCCCTCCACCTCCTGGAGCTGCACTTCTCTGAGCTTTAGCACGTCTGTCTCTGCTGTGGGCCCCCTCAAGGAGTCCCCTCGCTCTGGACCTCCGGGGCCTCCACCCCCCGAAGGGGATGATGCAACCCTGTTCTCTAGTCCGGAGCGACTCTCAGCCAGCATAAAACAGGAGGGTTTATTGAGCGTTGAACACAGCACAGGAAACTCTCAGGGCCTCAAATCTGGCCTCCCTCAGCACAGCACATCCCAGTCTCCACTGCATCCAGGGGGGCTCTGCCTGCTCCTCCTCTCCAGCCCAGAGCCCCCCTGCTTCCCCGCTGGGCCTCTGATATAACCGGCCCCAAGCCCCGCCTCTGTCCATTGTCTTCTCTCCAGGTAAACTGGGTCGTAAACAGGGTCGCCTGGTCCTCCTCTCCTCTCATCTGTCCTCTGGCCCCTCTGGCTGGAACCAGCTGGTTAGGTCACTGGGGCCCTCTCTTCGCAGCCCATTGTCCTCCCACTGGCCAGAACCAGCTGGGACTCCTGAGCTGGGACTCCGGGTCACCAGGTCACCAGGTCACCAGTCGCTGGGGTGTCCATCCTCCAGCCCATCGGCTGGGGTCCCAAGGTCCCTCTCGGGTCCTCTGGAACAACAAACTCCCTCTCCCCTCACCTCATTAAACCAGTAACACCCAGGGACACTGAGTTCCACTCCCTCTGCATGCAAACCTTTGGAAAACCAAGGAAAAAACAAGAAAATCCCCCACTTTGTCACACACACCCTTTCGGGTTCCCCACATTTCCTCTACCATCAAGCTTCTCAGACGCCCCCAGAACCCTTTGTGCTGGGCCCAGGAGGTGGCAGGATGGTTTCCCTGGGTGCCTGGAGGGGCGAGTGATGAAGCCCATCTGACTTACTTGGAGATGGGGGATGGGAGAGAGCGCACAGCCCCATTCAGACAGCTGGGGGCGACCTCTCACTCCCTTCTAGGGTTCAGACATACAGCAGGGTTCCCCTGGGGGAGGGGTAACAGACTTTGCCTCTGTGGGAATAGGGGGAGGGGTTCTCATCCCCCCACTGGGTCTCTCCTCCATTCCTTACATCCCTTGCTGTTGCAGGTGAACACACAGAGGCTGAGTACAGCGCCCCCTGCGGCTCAGGTAGGTTTGATGCACCCACACATAACTCCAGTCCCCAAAACTTTATGGGTGGGGGGAGTCCATGGGCCGGAGAGGTCTGTGTGTGTTGTAGACGGCAAAGGAGGGGGAGCTGGGAGCATGGAACCCACCAGGACCATGTGTGTGGGGGGAGAGACATCTGGGGGAAAGGGTCTATGTGGGACACAAGGGAATCTGTCTTCAGGCTGGGGAGTGACTCTGAGGGGACAGTCTTATCAGGTGTTGAGAGAGTTCTGGGGGGCCATGTCTACAGGTGTCTGCTGGGGGGGGTGTGATTTCGGTCCCATCTCAAGGGATGTTTGTGTTTGTTTAAAGCCCCTGACACCAACACAATGGGAAATTCCCAATGAGGCCCCCACCCCTGCTGGGCAGCCCCCTCCCCTCCGTCCCGAGAGCCCCGCGCCGGCAGCCGACACCCCAGGATCGGGGGGGCACGGACAGGCCTCGTCTCAGCTGCTGCTCTTCCCCGAACCAGCTGCACTATCCCCCTTAGCACCTTCTTCAGCCAACGCCTCCCCATTCGCTCTGCAAACATCCCACCTGCTCTCCCATCTCTCAGCCTCCAGACCGGCCCGCGTGATCCCAGCTGTCTGTCACATGCGGGGACCAGTGGCTGCAGTGGGGACCCCTGGGGTTTGCTGCCCATCCTGCCTGGAGAGGCAGGTTCAGTGTAAAACAAAATAATAAACCTGCCATGTCTTTGTGAGGCTGTTTTGTCCTTTGTTCCTGCCCTGCTGCTGCTCCTCACACGGCTCCTGTGCATCCTTAGAGCAGTGAGATCCTGGGACCGTGGCTCTGTCCCCTTCCCCAGCCCTTCGGTCATTGCTGTGGGGTTTGGCTTTAACCCTGGGTCAGGCAGCGTCAGCGACAGCCTCCCGGGTTCCAGCCCCGCCTGGCAGAGCTGCCCTCGTTACACGCGTCTACATGAAAATGAACCAATTCAACTGAAGTTAGTTTTTTAAACCAGTTTACTTACACCTGTGAAAACCCCAGTGTGGATGCACTTATTGTGGTGTGACGGAGGTTATTTTAGTTTAGGTTCAATCAATTAGGAATTCAAGCTAAACCAGAATCAACTCTTCTCTCAGACCGACAGGAGCACCTCTACCGGCTTGCATGGGTTGAACTAAATTGCTTTTATAAGTCAAGGCCTAAGAGAGGGAGGAATAGCTTGTCCGACTCCTTACAACTCTTGCTTGTTCTGTTTGTGTTTTGTTACCATCTGCTTAATTCCACGGACCAATGAACACTGTGGGGAAAGGCGATCTGTGTGAACGGTCTATCCCCAGTCAACCATGGCATGAGAGCCAAATGTACATGCTGTGGGATACCCAGCCAGTCCTCCAGAGACCCCAGGGCAGAGCAGACTCGACATTCCTGATACTTACAGGGTAAATAGGAAACAAGAAAAATAAATCCATAGACTGTTCAGACCCTCCCTGTCCATCGTAAAGAAGCAAGAACTCTTTGCAGGTCCCCTTTAAAAGCAGGAAGCTCATTTTCCTGTGTGCAGATGTTAAAGGCACCTGATGCAGTTTGTAGGTGCAGGGGCTTTCCCCAGGGCCAGAGTGTGAAAGATTCACCAAAGAGTCACGATCACAAGCTCAGTCTCAGTTGGAAAGGAGGCACAAATACGTCCCAGAGGGCTGCACGTGCCTGTCTAAGGGTATGTCTACACTGGCAGAGTTACATCACCGGCGGTTCCATCACCGCTCAGAGAGCACTGAAGGGAAACTGCGGTTGTGTGTTCACACCGTCAGCTGCCTGCGCAATAGCGTGTTCACACTTGAGGCACTTGCAGCAGTATTTGGAGCGGTGCACTCAGGGCAGCTATTCCCACTGAGCATCTCTTCCTCTACTGCTGCTAAGAATTGTGGGAAGGCGGAGGGATCGCAGGGCATCCCGGATCCTGTCCCAATGACCCGTGATGCATTGCTTCGCGTCCCAGCAATCCCTGTGCTTCCGTCCGCATTTGGCGCCATTTTTCAACGGTTTGTGTTCTGCGCGCCCTGCTTCTTCTGGCTGCAAGAATGGATCCCGCACTGCTGACCAATATGCTACTGGCTCTGAATAACATGTCACAAGTGGCAGTGGAGTTATTCCTTAAACTACAAAGGCAAGAGGAGTGTGACATTGATCTCGCCACGTGTAGTAGCTACGACACGAGATTGTTTGTGGCATTCATGGAGGTGCTGACCACAGTGAAACACTGCTTTTGGGGTCAGAAAACAAGCACTGAGTGGTGGAATCACATCGTCATGCACTTCTAGGATGATAAGCAGTGGCTGCAGAACTTTCGGATGAGGAAACACACATTCATGGGACTGTGGGATGAGCTCACCCCGGTCCTGCGGCGCAAGGACACGAGAATGAGAGCTGCCCTGTCGTTGGAGAAGTGCTGGTGATTGCACCATGGAAGCTGGCTAATCCAGACTGTTACCAATTGGTCGCTAATCAGTTCAGAGTGGAAAAGCTGACTGTCGGACTCGTATTGACGGAAGTGTGCAGGGCCATTAATCGCATCCTGCTGGGAAAGACCGTGACTCTGGGCAACATGCGCTTCCCTAACTGCGGAGGGGCAATAGATGGCACACATATTCCAATTCTGGCAGCAGACCACCTAGCCACCGAGTACATTAGTCGCAAGGGGTATTTCTCTATGGTTCTCCAGGCGCTTGTGGATCACCGTGGGCGTTTCACAGACATTAACGCAGGCTAGTCCAGAAAGGTGTATGACATGCTCATCTTTTGGAACACTGGTCTGTTCTGGAAGCTGCAACCTGGGACTTTCTTCCTGGACAAGAAGATCACCGTAGGGAAAGTTGAAATGTCCATTGTGATCCTGGGAGACCCTGCCTACCCCTTAATGCCGTGGCTTATGAAGCCATACACAGGGAACTCTGACAGCAGCAGGAGCAGTTCAACAACAGGCTGAGCAAGTGCAGAATGACTGTTGAGTGTGCTTTTGGCGTTTAAAGTCCCGCTGGTGCTGCCTTTATGGGAAGCTGGACCTGGCCGATGACAATATTCCTATGCTTATAGCCACGTGCTATACCCTCAATAATAGTTGTGAAGGGAAGGGTGAAAGCCTCACACAGGGCTGGACCGCTGAGGCTCAGTGCCTGGAGGCTGATTTGCAGGGCCATAAGGATCAGGGATGCCCTGAGGCAGCAATTTGAATCTGAAAGCCACTAATATTTGTTGCTATGTTCGGGAGTGCAGTGCTTGTAATGCTAGGAGGTGATTGTAACAGGTGCAGACGATGCACTATGAAGGTTTAAGGAAATTGCCTGTTGCTTTGCAGGGCTCTGTTTGGTTTCAATTAATGGAATAAAGATTCTTTCAAAACCAAAACATTTCTTTTATTAAAAAACAACAACCGGAGGAGAGAAACAAACAAAAAAACCACATCAGCACTGTGGGGGATGGGGGAAGGGAGGGTCCTAGGAGGTGGTGGGATCCTGGGATAGTTAAAGATTTGTGTACATCCAGGTATCATATGCAACCTTGTCTCTTGCAGTACAGTGCAGCGGATACTGTACTTCAGCAGGGCTAAACTGCAGAGGGATGGGTGTTGAGTGCAGTGGGTAGTGGGAGTCTGCAGGACTGGACTGTGACGGGCAGGAGTGGAATGCAGCGGGTACAGACTGGAGCCAGGAGGTTGATAAGACTGTGTTTGTGGTGTCTGGGGGGAGCATGGGAAAGCGATTTGCGACAGCAGCTGCAGGGGAGGGCGGGCGCGGAGCTGCTCTATTTGCAGTGCTAGTAGTGCCTAGAGCATGTCCGCTTGGCGCTCCATAATATTTAAGAGCTGCTCCGGGGCTTCGTTCTGGCGCACCGCCTTCTCCTTTCAATCCCTCTTCTCGGTGTCCCGCCTCTCTTTCAATTCTTGTTTTTCGGCTGTGGAGTGCATCATGACATCACGCAGAAAGTCCTCTTTAGTTCTTTGTGGCTGCTTTCTAATTCCATGCAGCCGTTCAGCCGGTGATCACAAAGAGGGAGGCTGGGCTCCCAAGGTCATATCTGTGAAGCCAAAATACAGCATTTTACAGAAGCGGTATTGTTTGCAACACACGGACCACTGATTCAGTGATTTAAAACACAGCCACTATTCACATACCTGTCAGTAACTGGCTGACCCCAGGCAAGCACACGTGAGCCACAAGACCCCCAAACTGGTGAGTAGCCTCAGGGGCAGGGGAAATCAGTGTTCCAGGACCGTACTGTCCACTGGGCACGTGGCTCTTGGGGAGAGCCAGCACTGTAGGCGGGGGGAGGCTTATAATCATTACTGTGCCCACATTTTCCACAGGCTGTGTTCATTATAGAAGATGGGTGAGCAGGGAATCAAGGGAGGGTCTTCTCCAAGACTGCGGTTTCCGCCCTGGCCCTTATGCAGCTCGCCTGTGGGCAGCAATGCCCCCTTTCACCCAGTGACAGCAGAGTGGTGCGGGAAAGTTACTGTTAATGGGGCAAGAAACAAAGCAGCTCTGCCAAAGAACCTGTGGCAGCGGATTGCCCAGTATTTCCAGGAGAGTTTTGTGGAGATCTCTGAGGCAGATTCCCGTGAAGTGAGGGAGTCAATCAACACCCTGTTCCGCCGCTCAGACGAGGCATGTGGTGGTACGTGCATCATACAGACACAAGCCTGCTTTTTGCAACCCTCCTGCCCCCAACCACTCACTTCAGCAATTTCCAAACTCAAAGCCACTTCCCAGGGGCCTCCTCTACTGTTTGCACTTTGCCAAGCTCCAACAGCTGTGACTGGCTAGCCTCCTTCGGGATAGAGAAGAGCTCCTGGCTGCATGCACCTCTAACCTCCAAGTCATCCTCTGCCTCTGGGTCCTCCTCCCACTCCACATCTTCATCCAAGATTTCCTCCTCCTGGCTCAGTGCACTCTCGACTGGCACGTGAGCCACCAAAGTATTCACAGTGGCCTTCGCAGTGGAGGTGCGGTTGCCACAAGTATCGTGTCCAGCTCTTTGTAGAACTGGCAGTTCGTGGGCACAGCACCGGAGCGGCGCTTTGCCTTCTGCACCTTGTGGTAGGCGTTCTGCAGCGCCTTCTCTATGACCCTGCACTGCAGTGTGTCCCGGTCATGGCCCCTTTCTGTCATTGTGAAATCTGTCCATAGTGTTAGGCAAAAAGATTCTTTTCCCCAAGAATTAGGCAAGCACAGACAGTACTAGAGGGATTTATTAATGGCACCAGGAAGACTGGTAAACAGCTTCAAAAGTATGGTGTCATAGTGACCAGTTATATACAATTTTTTATTTATGTATTTACATTTGTTTTGTACTTACAGGGGCAAACATGGTTACAAAAAAAATCTTAACAAATATAACAGTAAAAACAATACATACGTATAGACCCATCCTAATTATATCAGTTATTTGTGACTGCTTTCGGGGTGAAGAGGCCTAGCGATTCAGATTGCTCTGTATCAGTGACCTGTCCTCTGCATTATTTACCACTCCCCCAATTTCTGTGTGTAACCCTTCTGCCCATCTAAGTTGGCAGCAACAAGGGCCGGGTTCTGTATCTAGGGGTTCCGTTTCAATAACGCAATGCAAAACCGGCTAGAGCGCCCACCCAGTGACCTGGGACAATTATTGTACCACCCCCTGGGTGCCTCTAAGAGGCAATACTTCCCCTCTCGCAAGCACGGAGTCTGAGTGTAACAGAAAATGTTTAATAACATGAGGTAAACAACATCAGCATTAAATTGGAAAAACACCACAAACAGGATTTGTGATTTCAGCTCTTAGCAATTTCAGCTCATACTAGGAGAGCCCCAGTGCTAGTGCACCATTGGCCCAACGGGAATTCAGCTCAGCAGGCTGTAACTAGACTCTTAATGGAATCAAAATTAGCTCTGACATTCAACAGTGGAGAGAAGCAGTAGTGCAATTGGTGTTTCAAACCCTCAGAGGGGTCCCATACCATCAAGTACAAATCCCTGTCCACATCCCCTCTCAATTCACTGGGTTTTGTA